ATGCCATGCAGTTCGTTGCGACGGCTTTCGCGGAAGGATGTGATGACAAGGTCTTGCAGCAAGTGCTCCCAATTTCCCAATCCAAGGAAAGCAAAACCCTGCACCAGTGTGCAAAGAACTTCACGCTTCTGGATCAGATTGTCCCCATGTTCCAGTCCTTGAAGCGATCCGAGTTCAACCAGGACCCACACTCGGATTATTGATTTCAAGGTCCAAATCCTCCGTTTGGGGCAATGTGGGCAATGTAGGGCTTTAGAGTTTACAGTCTAGAGTCTAGAGTCTAGAGTCTTCTACAGTTTTTGAGTTTAGAGTTTAGAAGTTTAGAGATTGATTAGATGGAGTCTAGAGTTTAGTAAAGTCTGTCTAGACTTGACTAGACTCTAGACTGACTGAGTGTAGGGCTTGAGGCTAGGAGTTGCGGTTTAGAGTTTAGGGCCAGGGCCGTTTAGGGTTCAGAGTGGGAGTGGATACTTAAAGCGTTTAAGCAAGCCTTTTCAGCCTTTAGTTTAAAGTTTAAGGGGGAGGGGAAAGGCTTTCGGCTGCCTGTTTTATGCTCCGTATCTGACGCCAGGACCTCTGGAGTCGGATGCAGCTCCAGCAGACGCTGGTGCGAACCACGATGTCGACAAATTGCACTCTGGCCGTGGTTCAAGCGTTGAGTCGTCCTCTGAGGGAGTCCGAGTCTCGACAGAACCTGGCCAGGCGTGCGCGCATCATGGTCAAAACCCGACAGGAGCACGGCGTGACGATCCCGCAGAATCTCGACATGATGCTTTCGAGCGCAGGATCGGGGCTTTCGTGAAGAGGCCACCCGTTCGGCCAACAGGCCAACCTTTTGATTTTGATGGCTGCGGCAGTTTGAAGCTGTAAATCCCTGCGCCTTCGGTTGGGACCTTGGGTCCGGGCCGGCTTCTTAGATGTGGCTGCAGCTATCTTTCAACGGGGAGCGGCCGTTGCACTAGTTTGAGGCCTTGGGCCTTGGTGCTATCAAACAGTAGACAGTATCTGTAGCCCCAACCGGGCTCCAAGTAAGAAACCTTGCTTGCACCATGGGACCATGGGCCTCACAAACTGCATTTGCGACGTGCCGGTGTGGTCGGCGCACAGAGTGCTCCGAATCAAAAAAATGTTCGTTGATGCATCGGCATGTCCATTTCTTTCAGCAAAGCATGCCGCAGCCTGCAAGTGTTTCAAGTTGGTGATTTGTCATGCAACCCGCCAAGCCGCCAGGAATGGTGACTCGTGATCGTGACCTTCGTAAAATGCTGGTTGGCCGCTGCCTTGGACCTTCTGATCTCGAGCTGGTTTCGGAAGTTGGAGAGAGAGACGGGCTCCAAGTTGTCAAAATGTGAAGTCCCTCAGGCCCTGCTTGGAGGATCTTAGGACAGTAAGTATCCAAGTAAGGCGAGGTTTAATTATTGAAGTGTCTTATTTAGAGCTTTGCGTTATTTTTAGCGTATCACGAAGTCCCATAATCCGTAATGAGTAATGCTGTAGCTACACACTCCAAGCCCCGAAAACAACGGGTCGAATCGTTGTCTGCCATCCACTCTCAAAGGGAAGGCTACGAGTCACGGCCCTTGGGCTATATAGCCCGGAGTACGGGGAATCCGTTGGGGGCAGGGGGGGCGGCGGCACCGAGGGGTGGCTTTCACCGCCGAAAAGGGAGCCTCTCGTCCCTGCAAGTGCTTGCGTTAGGTCGTCTGTGTGCCCAGTGCCCTGCGTTAGGTCCACCGCCCCAGTGCCCTGCTTTAACTTTGTTCTCCGAGCTCCTTCCTTTCAAGCTGGGCTGGGTCGGGCCGGGCTGGTGGGTGGGACGGGTTGTGTCGGGAGCTCAGGGTGTTTGCCTTGAAGGGGTTCGCCCTAGGAGTGCAGGTAGTGCCGTGTCTGTGTGCGCCAGGTTTCGGGGTTCCTTTGATTTTCAGGTTGCGAGGCTTTGGGTTTTCTGAGGCTGCCAGGCAGTGCTCTGCGACCCTCCCCCGCCACCCTCTTCTCCTAGCCTTCTCCCGCCCAGGTCTGACCTGCTCGCTTCTCGCTGCCGGGCTCCCGCAGTGCTGCCGTAGGAGGGTCGCCGGTAGGAGTGCAGGTAGGAGTGTCGTGCGTGCAAGGCTTCAGGTTGCTCAGGTTGGAAGGCTGTAGGGGCTCCGAGGCTGCCAGGTAGTGCCGTGCGTCCCTGCCCCTCCCTCCCTGCACCTCGCGCCTCTCAGGTCTGACCTCCTCGTTGCTTGGCTGGCCGGGCACCAGGAGTGGAGGTGTGCCTATTTTGAAACTTGTTTCGTTTGGCTTTATAGCTCAAGCTATGTTTCAAATGCCAGGTTGCTTTTGAAACTCGCTTTTCGCCCAAACCTTTTAAATACGGGAGGGGCAAACAACCTTACTTTAACTCGTCGGTTTTTGCCACGATGTTTTTCGTCCTGATGCGAACCTTGATGTCGAACCTTTGAATGACTTTATATTGCGGCAGTCATTTGTGGTTCGAGTTCGCCATCGGGCGATATTCGAAATTTTTGTTGGGGCTCTCTAAAGGCCTGTAGTGCTTGCTAGCAGCCCCCAGGTGCTAACCCAAGGCTGGGCCTAGCCCTCCGTGCAAGACTGCCGCTGTGCGGCGGTCGGATGGACTTTGGCGACGCTTTGTCTGCAGGTTCTAGTCAGCGCGGTGCAAGTGACTCCCCTAGCACTGTGAGCGAAATCAGCAGGCATCTTTACGAGCTTCAGCTTCAGGTCAATACTCTTGAGGCCCACGTGAGAGCTTGTGAAAGGCGAATCAGGCATTTGGAACAGCAGCTTCCTTCCTCGCGAGTCTCCGACTCCGAGAGCACGTGGGCCGCTTCTCTTTTCGGTTCGTTTCTCACTTGCCTTACGCGTCGCTAGCTTGCAGCCTGAGTCTCAGCCTACCTGCTTCATTCTGCCGAGTGATTTGGGGAGTAAGCTGTCATCATGAAGAGGTCGGCCGACCACGCATATGAACAACATCTTGATGAGGTGCTCAGAGGTCCTAAGAGCCGGTTCGTGCAGCCCTGGGAAAGGTCACCTGTGCTTCAGCCTTTCAGGTTGTTTCCGCAGCTTCCCAGGCATCAGCAGGTGGCGGTTGCCGCGCCGCTCGTACCGACGAGTGGGCCAGCCACTCCACCCAAGGGTGCTGGCCAAAGTTCCATGTCACATGTCGGGCCCAAAGCAAAGACTCTTGGAAAGTCCTGGAAAGCCAAGATGTCTGACAACAGGCTTGCTGCGCTTGTAAAGTGGGAAAGGATTGTGGAAGCTCACTCCGAGCATTTTGGCTTTGTCGCCGAAGCCCGCCGTGAGCCTGAGCTGGCTTCGTACTCCTTGCATGATGTCTTGAGTGATATTTTCTCGGTGAAAGCCAGCACCACTTTGCACACCCGGTCAGGTCCCCTGCTTAGGTTCCTTAAGTTCTGTCACGACGAAAGGCAAGCCCCTTTCCCTCTTCGCGAGAGCTTGATTTACTACTTCCTCAAGCAGTATGGTGCTAAGCAGGCCCCCACGTTTGCCAGCAGCTTTCTGGGGTCACTGGCGTTTTGCCACCACTTGTTAGGCCTTAAGTGCCAGGACGAGATTTTCTCCACCAGGGTTACGGGTGCAGCCCGAGGCCTTTTCCTTGAAAAGAGAAAGCTTGTGCAGAAGCCCCCTCTTCTGGCAGCCTTCGTTCTTGCCTTGGAAAATATCGTTCTCGGACAGGGTGATTTCAGCTGGGCGGACAGGTACGCTGCCGGATGCTGCCTTTTTGCAATCTATGCCCGTGCGAGGTTCAGTGACATGCAGTCTTGTGGAAACATCTTTGAGGATATTGCCTACATTGATGGCAAGCCTCATGGATTCTTGCAAGCCGACATCACCAGGACGAAAACTGCATACACCTTGGAGAGAAAAACCAAGTACTTAGCTATGTGCGCTCCGATTTGGGGCTTGGCGGAGAAGCCGTGGGCAATCGCTTGGAGGGCTATCGCTAAGGATCACGGCCCCCCCTGCGGGGAAGACTTGCCACTTTTGCCCTCTCCTGTGGAGAGTGGGGGATGGCAGGAGACACCTGTCAGTGTTGAGGTTGGAGCCCGCTGGCTCCGCAGCCTCCTGCATCGCATGGGACTCGAACCTGCTTCCGCGGTTAGGCTTCTAGGGACCCACTCGATGAAAGCAACGGTTTTAAGCTGGGCTGCGAAGTGGGGCATGTCTAAGGAAATTCGGATGATCTTGGGGTACCACAGCTCCTCTAGATCCGATAGCGACGTGGTCTACGGCAGAGACAACGTAGCCCCCGCGCTGCGAGAGCTAGTTTCTATGCTTTTGTCCATTGCCCAAGGTTCCTTCAGACCAGATGCCACTCGAAGCGGCATGTTCATATCGATTCCAGCTCCTGCGGAGTCCGGTGATGGTGATGATATATCTCTCTCTTCTGAAGGCAGCGAAGACGAGGAGAACAAGGACCCCGCCGCCGAGGACGAGGCTGTCGATTCAGTCGTTGGCCTTTGGGAGCCCTTGGAAGGGGTTCGTGAGGCTCTTGAGAGGGCCCCGGTCTTCAGGCATGAGGTGACGAGGTTCCTGCATGTTGTAGCCTCTGAAGAGGGGTCTCATTTCAAGTGCGGGAGGAAGATCTCGACTTCCTATGTTCGGTGCGAGAGTTTGCCGAAAGTTTTGTTCCCAGTATGCAAGCAGTGCTGCCCCGACGTGAAATTGACCGAGGCGGGCACCGATGCAGGATAGAAACCTGTTGTCGCAAAGGCGACGCTACGAGGGGCGATCTCGTGCTTAAAGAGTTGCCTTGCGTGCTTTCTTGCATGTCGAGTCTCGTTTTTTCGAGGGGGGGGACCTCAAGTTGAACAGTCCATGCTGATGTCCTTGTTTCACATGACAGGTTATGTTGAACCCATGTGGAGCCTATGATTTCTCCTTGTGGGATCAGCTGCGGGGTGACTCGAGTGCAGGTACTCTTGTGAATGCATCCCCGGAACTGTTCTCTCAAGGCTCCCACTGTAAGGTGCGGCAACATGGCTGCCTCTTACTCAGATAGCCGTAGTGTTTTCGATGCCAGAGTGGACGCATGTGGGCTTCCACGAGAGGATGCTGTGAAGGTTAAGGCCGCTGTGGGATCGCTTCGGCAGCTTGCTTTCATTTCTAGCTTTACTCCTGGTCAAGCGGATGAGGCCCCGCTTATGGCTGCTCTGAAGTCGATGTTGAGCCGCGAGGCTGAGTTGGCTGTTCAGGCAAGCTTCAGAGCACTGTATCATGAGGCTTATGCTATCGTTACTTCGGAGATGCGGCAAAAGATCGAGAAGAGCGAGGAGCCCACGGCAAGGAGGCTCACCCAGCCTGAGCGTGCCGAGAGGCACGAGAAGCAGGTCGCGAAGCTTGTGGGTGTGCTGATCAAGGGACCTTCGGAGCCCAGTGAGGCACTTGTTGATAAGGCAGTGTCGGCCTATGAACAGAACGAGTTGAGGTACATCTCTTGGGAATCGTGCACCTCTCGAGAACAGGAGGTCGCCTCAGAACGCAAGAAGGACACTCGCTTCACGATCGATGAACATTCGGGCAAGCTTAAAGTTGAGAATAAAGAGGCTGAGGACAAGGCCTCCACCGCTTCGGAGGTCCATGTCCTTCAGGCTTTGCAGAGACGATCGCTTGCCCTTGATCAAGCTAATCTTGTCGAGTACACCCTGATGCAGCAGTGGTCGGACCGCCTGCTGCGTGCCAGGATGGACGATCCACCGCCCCAGTACAGCCGTCCTTCTTGGGGCCAACTTGTGGCGGCGGACAAGAAGCTCTTCAGCGAGTTGAGAGATCTGACAAGAGATGGAGTTCAGTCATCAAGCGGAGGAGTGCGCCCTCTTGACAAGCACCTTCCAGCTGTGATGATGTCGTACGACGTGGTCTGCTTGCTCCAGCCCATGCCACAGTCGGCCAGTGGGCGAAGCACAGAGGATTCTGGCAAGGAGCGCCCCGCTCCCTATACTCCCAAGGGTCCTCGAAAGGGCGCTGGGAAGGGCAAAGAGGGCAAGGGAAAGGGACGCATGCCTGCGCAGCTCATTGCTTGGGGCTGCACTTCCTCAACCAAGAAAGGAAACCCGTACTGCTATGGGTTCCAGCTTGGCAATTGCGCCAATGCTGTGACCAACAATGCCTGCGTGAGAGGCCTGCATGCTTGTGCCATCCCGAAGTGTGGCCAACACGGGCACGGGGCTTCCACGTGCCCTAAGAGGAAGCAAGAGTGACGGTGCCAGGTGAGCACAACGACGAATGATTCGTCAGAGTCAATCGGTCGTGCGGCCGAGGTTGGCCAGGCAGGAAATGATTCGGCTACCCAAGCCAGCCAGAGCTTGGTTCCGGAACACTTCCGCGACGGATCATCTTTCGAAGTGGATGCACATGTGCAACCAGCTTCCAGTTCTCCTCAGCACGAGAAATTTTCCGCAATTCTTCAGAGGTGCCTGAGCTTTTTCGACAGCCTCCCGAATGAGTCAGTTGGGACTAAGACCCAATCTCATCGTGACCAGGTTGGGAAGGCTTTTTATAGTGGGATGTATTCTAAGGGTGTCGTAGGGCTGCGAACTTCGGTCCACCGGCACCCCGAGGAGGTGAGAGTTCTTACTTCGTTGATTCGAGCCGTCGACCCAACGTTGTTGTTTTCCAGTCTGGTTGTCACCGAGGACTCACGTGTCGGGGTCCACAAGGACGTCCAGAACGTCTGCATCCAGAACTTGGTCATCCCGATGACTCGTTTTGGGGGAGGCGAACTGCTTCTAGAGGACCCCGCGGGATCCTTGGTTCAGAGGGGTGAGGTTTCTTTTAGGGCTCGCGCTGTGTCCTTGGATCAGGGACCAATTGCATTCGATGCCCGCTCCGTTCGGCATTCCGTGAACCCTTCTCGCGGTCGGCGTGTAGTCTTGATCGCTTACTGCTTAAAAGGTTCGGACCGCCTTGCAACAGAAGAATCCCAGTTGCTTCGTAACCTGGGGTTCGCATTGCCCCATCAGGAGCCTGCTGAGGTTCCTCTCCCCGCCTTCACGGTCGGTTTTCCTGATTTTAGGCCTGCTCTAGGGTTTAGTCCCCCCGGCCCTAGTGCACCTCCAGTGGGTTTGTCTTCGGTTAAAGCTTGCCCTTGGTTGTGCCTAGAGCTGTTCGCCGAAACCGGCAACATGACTTCTGCATTGCGGAGCTTCGGATTCAAAGCCCTTCCTTTGGGGCGCCGTGCCAAGGGGCCCGTGCATGTTACACCGCTGGATCTTTCTCGCGGCATGTCTTGGCAATACGTGAAGAGGCTTGTACAAGCTGGGGACGTGTTTGTGGTACATCTCTCCCCGCCGGCTCGCGGTTCGCTTGCCGATGCAGCGGCGCCGCACGTCGCTGACTTTTGCACTTGGCTCCGTTCCGAGTTTCCTTCTGTGCACTTTTCCGTTGTGTGTGCCGCCTCGGCCCCCCTTTGGAAACAACCTGGCCTGCTCGATCTTAAACAGTCCTGCATTCAGGTCTCATTTGCTGCCTGTGGTCCCGGACCTCGCGAGAGCTTTCTCTTGATGTCCTCACTGCCCGAGCTTCGGGTTTTTGAAAATCCTGCCGATGCCTCAAGCCACCCTTCAATCGTGATTGACAGGGTTTTATTTCCAGATTTTGTTTTTGAAGGAAAAACTGTAGTTTTTCCTTTGTTTCCCACTTTTCCGTTTCGACTTTTATCGGGCAAATCTTTTCACACGCAAGTTGCGGCAACATCTTTACAACATGTCTTGATGTGAACGAACTGCGCAGTTTTCCGGATCACAGTCGGAAAAATTTTGTGTGAGCCTCGAGATCCTTCTGCTGTGGTGCCGCACACCGTTGCCAGGGTTCCCCCGACGGAATAGTGGCTTGAGGGCTTGCTCTCGCTGCAAGGGGAGTGAGCACTGGTAGGTGTGGCAGGCCACCCGGTAGACACGTCTAGGATCTTTCTAAAAGGCCCTGGGTGCTAATCTGGTGCTTCTAGCGAGTGGGGCGGGTCGCTACATGGACTACGAGGACAGTGAGTCCTCCGCGTCTTTGGCAAGTACCTCAGCGAGCTCTCACTTTAGCAATCTTAGTTTTGATTGCGTCTTTGCCTCGGGACCCGTGTGCAAAGTGCGAGTGACGATTACGCTGTGGAACTTCCTTGATCCTGCTGCTAGATCAGCTCTGCTGGCTTCGAGTGCTTCCACTCGCAGCGATTTCTTGCAGGAAATCCTCTTCGTTGCAATTAGGGCTGGTCTGCAGCCCCTGCCGTGAGCACGGCCTCGCTTCAGGGCCTTGGCTCGTGGGGTCTCTTCGATGGCTGCTGAAGCTTCGGCCTCCGATCTATGTGATCGTTTCGAGCAACACCTCCAGCACTTGACTCATGATGTTGTGGCCCCACTCAGCTATCCGTGGGACAGGAATAAGGCCTTGTCTGCCATTTTCTCAGGAAAACCAGGCAGAAGCGTCGACCTTCATAGCGTCAAGGTGCCAAGAGTCGTGCCGCCGCCAGCCACGCAGTACAGGCGGCCGGGTGATTCAGACGAGCCGCTGCCGGTGGCTCTGCAGTGTACCAAGGTTGTGCCCGTCTTTGAGGCTGTGCTTAAGAAGCCCAGGCTACAGGCAGGCGAGAAGGCCGGTGTCGATCGAGAAAATGTCCTACGTCGGTGGCTCTGTGTTCTGAGCCACTCACCTGGTGCCTCGAGGTTGGGGGTTCTCATTTGGGCGAAAGGCGAATCTGACCCCTTGGGGGTCGTGGCGCAGGCCTTGGCTGGGAAAGCAACATCGACTTTGCTTAAGCGAGCCCGATTTTCTGCACGATTCATTTGTTGGGCCGACAAGCATCATGTGAAGGCTTTCCCGGTGAGCCTCGAGTTTCTTGTGAGCTTCCTCAAACCACTTGCAGCCGAAGCCAGGAACAGTGCCATTCGTGAGGCTATGGAAACTGTGAATTCCTGGAACATGTTCTCGGAATTGAGGTCGAACAAGGAATCAGTGACAACCCTTGGGTCAAGGGTGCGCTGCGGGGAGCCAACATTCGCACCTGTGACCCGAGACGATCGAGAGTCCTGAAGGTCGAGGAGGTGCTCCTCCTCGAAGGAGCGCTGATAGAGGGAGCCCTTGACAAGGTGGACAGGTACGCTACTGGGGTCTTCTTGTTCCAGCTTTACTCCAGGGCTCGAGTGTCCGATCTGAGGAACATTTCGAAGCTTGAGCTTGACCTTGATGGCGATACGGGTTTCATCGAGGTCAGAACTTATGAGCACAAGAATTGCCGGTTGAGCAGTGGACCGGGGGCCGTGCTCATTTTGGTTGCGCCGTACCATGGGCTCCACCAGAAGCCTTGGGGCGCCGCTTGGGCAGAGGCGGCGAAGGCCGTTGGCTTCGACTTCGAGAAGGGGCATCGCGGGCCGTTGCTCCCCCGCCTGGCCTGCGATTACTCTTGGAGCGGGGATGCCATCGATGCCAACGAGACCACTACATGGATCAGGGCGTTGCTTTCACGGCTGCAAGCGGCCGAAGAAGATCTTACATTCTCCTCGCACGGCTTGAAGGCAACGCCGCTTTCTTGGACCTCGAAGGCTGGATACAGTGAGAGGACGCAACTTGTCCTGGGACACCATAGCTTAGGTCCAAGTGGGAAAACGCAAGAAGCTTACGCTCGCGAAGTGCAGGCGCAGCCGCTACGAGATCTTGCAGAATGTCTTGGTGCCATCCGGCAGGGGGTTTTCCATCCGGATCGCACGAAGAGCGGGATGATTGCAGGAGGTGCGACCATCCGTGAGTCGCGATTCTCTTTGGCACCCTTGGGTCGTGCCAATCTTTCGCCATCTCACGAGAGCTTCGAGTGCGCTCCCGAAGTTGAGCTGGCCGAGGATGGAGGCGTAGAACCTCCTGATGATCAGGACCTGGGTGAACAAGAAGACGTTCACGAAGCCTCGAGCAGCGAGTCTGAGAGCTCAGGTGAGTCCGAGGAGGAGACTCATTATGAGAGTTTTGGAGCAGGCGAAGCGCAGAATGCGATCCCGTCTGTGAACATGGGCCCTGATTTAGACATTTTTCAGAACCCGAAGACCAAGAGCCTTCACTCACGAGCGAAGGGTTCTACTGGCAAGTTGATCTGTGGAAGGTCGCTTGACAATATGAAGCCTTTCAGTGGAAAGGTCTTCAGCAGTAGATGGCTGTGCAAGCAATGCACAGCAGGCCGGCCCCTCCGCGACGCAGGGGCCATGGCGAGTTTCATCGCTAAGAAGCAGGGCGCTTCTAAGTGAGAAATGTCGTGTGACGTGCGATGCTTGCGGATCACCACTTCAGTGTATCGCTGAGCTTCACAGTCATGTCTGATGGACGAGTGGTCAATTGCGCACCGATCCAGAGCATGGTTCGGAGACTCGTCCGGGCAAACAAGGGTTTCAGTGGAACCTTTGGTTTACCTCGTGGCCGCCACGGGGTCCGGACGGGCGGACCAAGCTCGGCGATGCGATGATGACCAGCAGTGCGTTGTCCACATGCAAAGCTTGCAATCACTGTGTGCATGATTGGTCCTTTGCATGTGCGTGTCTCAAGACCAGTTTCTGTGAGTGCACATAGGATCGGAGATCATGGCGCAAACCCTTGTAGAGTCCAAGGCAGTCTTCCTGGAGCGAGCCAAACGTGTGGGCCTCCCTCAGGAAGCAGTGGATCGCCTTGTTGCACAGACCATCGACACGATGGCGAAGCTAGCGTTCGCCCCTTGCCAGCCCGGCGAGACGCCGACCGAGGAGTCGTTGGCGGCCCTCATCAAGGTGGGAGGTGCAGCCCCGCCGTTGGGATCCATCGCAGCGGTTCGACACCTGGTGTTCGAAGCACAGACCCTCTTGGTCAGCCAGACCAAGGCACTCGTTGAGAACAAGGAGAACGAGGTCAAGGAGTTAGCCCCCGCGGAGCGCCGCGAGCGCATCCGAGCACAGGCCAACAAACTTAGAGGCATCACCATGTCTGGCCAGACTGAGTGCAGCTACGCCTCGTATGACCTCTGCATGAAGCTCCTTACTGATAACTGCATCAGCTACCTTTCCCCGGCCAAGTTCATCACTCGTGAAGCTGAGCTGCGTTCCGAGAAACCGCGGAAGGAGTTGGATGTACAGGCTTCAACACTGGTCGTGAGAGATCGTGACCCCGATCAGTCATGCGATACTTCCACTGCACTGAGCCTTCACCATGCCATGCACCGTCGAAGCCTTGCTCTTGACTTGATCGGTGTGACTGATTACTTTAGGGTTCAGGGCTTCGTGGATTTCCTCTTGGGCCACCTTCATCAGGAGCCCATTGCTGGCAGCCGTGCCACTTCTGTGCAACAAATTCTGCATGCGGACCGTGCTGCCTGGATGCGCCTGGCAGAGCTTACCCCCGACGGGATTCGTCGAGATGCAGCCGGGGCTTTGCCTCTTGACAGTTTGTGGGCCCGCTTGCAGACTGACCCGAAGGTGATTTTTCATCTCCTCCCGCGAGAAGGTGGTGCCCTCAAGCGGGAGAGCACCGAGCTCAAACCTGAGCCCACAGACACCCCGACCAAGAAGCAGCGCAAAGGTACCGGCAAGGGAAAAACCAAGACATTGCGAGAGCCTAGCAATCTTCCAGAAGAACTCAAGGGCCTTTCGTCTTGGACTAAGACCGGAAAGCGCCGCTGCTGGGGATTCAATATGGCTAGTGGGTGTCCTAATGCCAAGGTCGGCCAATCCTGCCCCAGGGGTCTGCACAACTGCATGCGTTGTGGCGGTCACCACCCCGCGCATGCGTGTCCAAAGAAGCCATGAAGCGCATGCCTGCCTGAGCCCGACAGCGTGCCAGCACCGTGTTTTCCATCGCCCAGTGTTTCATTGGATGCTTCACTGAGCGCCTCAACCCCGCAAGCATCGGCCGCTGCATCCAGCAAATCGCATTGTTTTCCTTCTCGTCCTGCTGAGGCTGCGAGCCCTGTGGAGGGGCCGCTACTTGATGCCGGGCACTCTCTTTGCGGTGCTGATGCTTTCAGGATTGATTCCCTCTTCTGCATTGAAATTTTCTCAGGCTCAGGCAGGCTTACTGCCGAACTTCGGCGTGCAGGGTTCCGAGATAGCATCGGAATCGACCATGTTGCCCCAAAGCAAATGATTTCTCCCGTCCTTAAGCTGGACCTCCTTGATCCCGAACATGTAAAGATGGTTCTTGATCTGATCGATTCTCCCTTTTGCCTTTATGTGCACATCGCTCCCCCTTGTGGAACGGCGAGTCGTGCTCGTGAAATTTTTCGTCGCGGTGAAAGCCTACCTGCTCCCGCGAGAAGTGATGCCCACCCGGATGGGCTACCAGACCTCACTGGCGAGCTCCGCATTCGCGTTGCTAAGGCCAACGACCTTTATGCCGTCACTGGCAAGATCTTTGCACACTGCATCCGTACTGGGAAGCTCGTCTCTTGCGAGAATCCAGGCCGCTCTTACTTCTGGCAAACGACCATGTGGCTCACTGCCGTTGCCGACCTGCAGTTTGAGGAAACCCTTTTTCATAACTGCCAACACGGCGGTGAGCGTGCCAAGCTCACCCGCCTAGCCCATAATGTCCCTTTGCTACACGAGCTATCCCTTCTCTGCCCGGGGGAATCAACATCTCATCGCCACCTGCCCTGGTCGCGATCCTCAGGTGCCTTCGACACAGCCGCCGAGAAGGTCTACCCTCGTGTGCTCTGCCAACGTATGGCCGACATCATTGTCCGTGCTGCCGCCGATCGTGGCCACCCTGCACCCGCTTCATACCTTGCGCCTGGTGCTGCCCTCCCCCTGCGTGAGTCTCAGGTTGCAGCTGGTGTGCAACCTCGCAGCAAGCGCGTGCCACCCCTTGTGCCCGAGTTTCGGCAGATTGTGGTTCTTCTTAGTCCTGAACCCCTCTTTCCCGGCGTGCGTAAGTTGGAAGCCGATACCCCCCTTCCACCTTGTGTCTCATGCTCGCCCTCACTGCCGACGCTTCCCGCGGGCACTCGGATCCTGCGCCAGAGTGTCATTGGGGTTGTGCCAGCTGGAGCGCAGGAATCGTGCTCAAGTAACTCAGCCGCCTCATCCACACCTGTGTCGCATCCCACAGTTGCCCCTAATGCCGAGGCGGAGGATGATGGAAACTCAGCCATCATGGAGGACGGCCAGATGGACCCCGAAGCTTTCTCGCATTATGCTCTCCACTTGGGAGCGTCAGCCAGCAACGAAGCATGGCGCGACTGCATTGTGGTGCCTTCTTTCATGCCAACAAGGTGGGCCTGCGTTCCAACACCTCATCGCACCCCAGTGTGAGCAAACTCTTGTGCGAGTATGTGCGCCGGGTTGCCCCGGGCCATCCTTTCACTTCCCTGATGCTGGGCAAGAACCTCGCAGGCAAGGTGCATACCGATAGAAACAATGAGCCAGGACTACCGAATGCGGTCTTGAAGATTTCCTCCTTCGAGCAAGGGGGAGTGTGGATCGAATCACCTAGTGGCTCCGTCGCTTGTCCTGATCCTGGCCACCCCGAGCTTTTGGGAAATGTTCTTGACTTCGAGGGCCGACGAATAATCTTTGATCCGAGTGGTAGGCGCTGTCAAGCTCCATGGTGTGGGGGACCCAGGATCACGCTTGTTGCCTATGCGATACGCGATCACCACAAACTTCTTGACGATCAGAAGAAACAGCTTGTAGACCTTGGTTTCGGCCTCCCTGGAAGCTCCCCAGAGTGCTGCCCAACAGCCGGTCCCGAGGCAGCCACCCGTAAGTCTGGTTTAGGCCCCAGCTCCTTGACTAAGCCACCACCTGGGATCCCGTCCTGCAGCATGCCAGAAAGTGGCCGTATGCACAAGGTGGCCGTAGGCATCCCTTGGAAACCTCAGGAGTTCATTGAGCAAGCACTGAAAGCTGGGCACCCCCGTCACCTCTTGGACGGTGTGCCATCACATTCCAAGGCGGCCATCGACCGTCTTGCTGACATGTCGCTTCATGAGATAGGAGCCCAACGCACCGAGAGGCTCCGGCATTGGATCAGCAAGGCCCGTGAGCTGGAGGCCGAGGAAGAGGAGTTGCGTGACTCAATGCCGCAACATTGCAAACGTGTCCTGGGGCGGAAGCGGCTGGTCCTTTTTAGGACCATGCTCGAGGAGTGTGGCCACGAGGACCTAGAGATAGCGAATGACATCGCCAAGGGTTTTGACCTCAGTGGTGCGATCCCGAGGAATCCTGCATATCGCCCCAAGCTGTCACCTGCTTCCTTATCCGTATCTGATCTCCGGAGCTCTGCAGCTGTGATGAGGGAAGCAACTCTTCTCGCCACCAAAAGTTCCGGGGACCCCGAACTTGATGAGGCCCTCATGGCGGCCACTGACAAGGAGGTCGCCAAGGGGTGGTTACGAGGACCCATCGATCCTGCTTCGCTAGGTCCTAATGCTGTCCTCTCGCGCCGCTTCGGCGTTTGGCAGGGCGGCAAGTGTAGGCCTATAGATGACTTCAAGGCCTCTGGGGTTAACTCAACGACTTCAGCCGAAGACTCGGTGACTGTGCACACGGCGGATGCAATCGCCGCTTCCATTGCCTACCGTCTCAAGCGCGACCCAAAGTGCCGACGGCACGGCGGGCTCGAGATGAAATCTTATGACTTACACAAGGCGTATAAGAATCTTCCTTTGAGCACTTCGGCGGTGGAGGAAGCTTATCTCTCGGTGTACAACCCCCGGTCGGGGAAAGCGGAGATCTACGAGCAGTGCGTGTTGCCCTTCGGCGCTCGTGCGTCGGTCCACTCGTTCTGCAGAACTTCACTTGGCATCTGGACGATTGGGGCGATTCAGCTGGCTTTGATGTGGTCAGTGTATTACGACGACTTTGTCGGCAACGAAGTCCCGCCACTTACACGGCTCTTTGACCTTTGTGCTGAATCGCTTTTTCAGATCCTTGGCTGGGACACGTCTCCAGACAAGCCTACCATCTTCGGAGGCGTGGCAAAAGTCTTAGGCCTGGAGTTTGACTTGCGCGAATCCTACCTCGGCAACTTCTACATGAGGAATACGACGACTCGACGCGAGGAGCTGAGAGAAAGTCTTTCTTCTATCATCGAAAAAGGAGTGCTGGCTAGGAAAGACTGCGAGAGGCTGAGGGGCCGCCTGCAGTTTGCCGCCAACCAGGTTGCTGGGAAGAAGGCTGGCATCGCATTCAAGATCCTGTCCAAACATCTTACGGAACGAAGCCCGAGCATCGGAGACAATCTGAGGGCTGCACTTCTGTTCCTGAGGGACAGATTTCTTGAAGGGCCCCCGAGGGCTCTGAGTGCCAACGTCTTGCATCTTTGGCATGTATATGTGGACGCTTCTTGTGACAACGATCGCATCGGTCTTGGAGGAGTTCTTATCTCGGACAATGGAACGAAAGTTGGGCACTTTAGCGTGTGGGCCTCTGATGAGCTACGACTTCTCGTTGGCCCCGAGAGCAAGAACCCCATCTTCGAGTGCGAGTGTTTGGCAGTACTCATGTGCATACATGTATGGAAGGGACTCCTTAAGGGATGCAACATTGTCGTCTTCTCGGACAACGAGGGCACTCGTGCCTGCATGATCAAAGGAGCATCAGACAACTCAGTCGGGATGCGCATCGTAGATGCCACTCATGATGCCATCGACGCCGCGAGCTGCATACCTTGGTTTGAGCGCGTGAATACCGCATCGAACATAGCAGACGATCCCTCTCGAGGAATATCTGACGAAAGCCTTGGTCAGCGTTTCGAAGTGGATGCGCTGAGCATCGCAAAGTCTGCATTGGTTCCATGGGGATGAGTCAATTGCTGACTATCCGATGCGTGCATTGGAATGCACATTGCGTGATGTGCTGTATGTACATCATGCGGAGCATCACGGATGCTCGATGAGGGGAACCTTTCACTTCGTTTCGACCTACTCGGAACTTCCCCGAGCGACGGCTTTCGCCAGACCTTTAAAAAAAGAGAGAGTGGGAGCTGCATGTTTCATTGAATTATATATATTCAACGATGACACATACATTGACTGGAGTCTCACTTTGCGCATCAAATATATTTCGCTCAGAAATATATTTTGTTTCTTTGGGAACATATAGAAACAGAATTTGGAAATAAGCCACCCTTCAATCGTGATTGACAGGGTTTTATTTCCAGATTTTGTTTTTGAAGGAAAAACTGTAGTTTTTCCTTTGTTTCCCACTTTTCCGTTTCGACTTTTATCGGGCAAATCTTTTCACACGCAAGTTGCGGCAACCTCTTTACAACATGTCTTGATGTGATCGAACTGCGCAGTTTTCCGGATCACAGTCGGAAAAATTTTGTCCCGCCCGCCCTCCCCGGGATGAGTCAATTGCTGACTATCCGATGCGTGCATTGGAATGCACATTGCGTGATGTGCTGTATGTACATCATGCGGAGCATCACGGATGCTCGATGAGGGGAACCTTTCACTTCGTTTCGACCTACTCGGAACTTCCCCGAGCGACGGCTTTCGCCAGACCTTTAAAAAAAGAGAGAGTGGGAGCTGCATGTTTCATTGAATTATATATATTCAACGATGACACATACATTGACTGGAGTCTCACTTTGCGCATCAAATATATTTCGCTCAGAAATATATTTTGTTTCTTTGGGAACATATAGAAACAGAATTTGGAAATAAAGGTTTCTTCTGGGAGTTCGGCTCGCGCAGCTACCTCGGCTGCCCTCTCGTTCGTGCATACGAACCTGTTTTGTGAAAGGTTTGCGTCTGCTGTGGCCCTGGCCGCTGGTCAACTCGACACTGTGCCGACAGAGGCCCTTGTCACCAACACTTCAGCCCGGGCTGCCAATCAGCTTCAGCCACGTGTCTCAAAGGCCGTCGTGTTAATTGAGGAATACCACTATCAAGTGACCGTGCCCGCGCCTTCCGGTGCCCTGCCCTCTCTTGACCCTAAAAATTGCCTCGTGGAGGCATTAGGCCCTGTCCCTGCCGGGTCTCGGGTTCTTAGGGTAAATTTTGAGACGGGTGTAGTTTTCCCTAAGCGCCCTCGACCCGACCGGAATGTCTCTTCTCAGCTGTCTGATCTGGGAGTCGGGAAGTTGGTCTCCATTACGTGTGGAGTCTACCGAAGCCCTCTTCAGTTTGCAGAGCGAGCTCTGAACGTTGGCCATCCTTGTGACATGTGCAGGGCTCTACCCGATCAAGCAATGATCGTTCTTGGCCATCTGCTCATCGAGGGTCCTGTCAAAGTTCTCAGGCGAAGACTTGATATGATAACCCAGTGGAAAGCATGGGCAGCTGAGCTGGAGCCGGCCGAAGCCGAGCTGCACAAATCTCTGGCCCCCTCAGTTGCTGAGGTAGTCAAAGGAAAACGCCTGCTCCTTCTTGATCGCATAGCCAGGTCCCTGCAATGGCCTGACACCCGCTTACATCAGGACATGACCAGTGGCTTCAAGATCGTAGGGGAGGAGTTCCCAAGTGGGATTTTTCCCCTTGAGCCTCGTCCGGCGACCCTCACGCCTGAGGAGTTGCTGGCTCAGTCTCGCTCCACAAAGCCCTTGATCTGGGAACAGATCAATGACGCTCCGTTGGACGTGAACTCACGTGAGCTCTTCGAGATCACTGAGGCTGAATACCGCGAGAAGGGATGGCTTGAGCAACCACGCACTTGGGAAGAGCTGGAGCTTTTGTTTGGCGATTGGCTCCCAGCAAAGAGATTTGGAGTACGCCAGCGTGACAAGCTGCGTCCCATCGACGACCTTGCAGCCAACGGTGCAAACAGCGCCTTTGCCGCTTGTGACAAGCTCACCTTGCGTGCTTTCGATGAGCTGATTTGGTGTGCCACCTACATCATGCGAGCACTTGTGCAAAAAGGATCCGTTCACCTTGTCTTGTCCTGTGGCCGGGTGATCTCAGGACCTCTTCACGACTTTTGGAGAATCAAGACCGATCGTGCCCGTCCCTTGCTGAAGACAATCGACTTGAAGGCAGCGTATAAACAGCTACCGCTCCACCCGGAGCATCGCAGGTTCTGTGTGGTCGGCTTGAAACATCCAGATACCGGTCAAGTGAGGGGCTACACATCGAGAGTATTACCTTTCGGGGCCGCCGGGAGTGTTACTTGCTTCAATAGGGTTGCACGCTTGATCCAACGGATTCTTCAGGAAGCCTGGATCTTAAACTGCAACTATTTTGACGATTTTCCAGTGTTGGAGTTATCCGCACTGACGGGGAGCACAGATTCAACTGCCCACTGCATACTCGACCTCCTCGGCTTCGAGTGCTCAGCTGAGAAGGAGGAACCCTTCGGCGCCAGCGCCGACGTCTTGGGAGTCACCGTCGACCTTTCTTGCGCAGACTTGTCTGAGGTGCGTGTGTGCAACCGGCAGGTCAAGTGTAGCGAGGTGGCCGCGTCAGTTGATGATGTTCTTGACCGGGGCTTCCTTAGGGCTGCGGAGGTTGCTTCTCTTTTCGGAAGGATTCAGTTTCTTGAAGGGCAACTCTTGGGACGCATGGGTCGATTGGCCTTGTCCGAGCTTCGTTCCCTCGGGACTTCGGGCGGAGTCCTCAAGCTCGGGGACTCCGAGCGTCATGCATTTCAGAATCTGCGTGAGCGGATGCTCCACGGTCCGCCCCGGGCGATTTCAGCTCGCCCGCCGGGGGCAAATGTTATTGTGTTTACAGATGGGGCCTGCGAGCCGGAGGGTGATAGCATGCTGTGCTCCATCGGAGGGGTGCTGTATGTTGAGAGCTCCGGCAAGTGGGTCACTCGATACTTTGGTTGCCGACTGCCAGATAAGCTTGTCAGGACTTGGAGTGCCTCGGGCAAGAAGCACTTGATAGGACCCGTCGAGTTGTACGCGGTGGCGACGGCTAGAGCATTGTGGCGAGAGTACCTCGATTTTTCTAAAGGCATCTTCTTTATTGACCATGCGGGTGTACACGCCGCATGTGTGAATGGGTCGTCCCATGACAGCCTCTGGCGGCTCATCCTTTTGAAGCTTGAGGAAGCTGATGCCAATGCCATGATTGCCTGGTACGCCCGTGTCCCGAGCCAGAGCAATCCTGCAGACCCACCCTCGCGGGGGTCCAACCTTTTCCCTGTTTGGGGCACATGCTCGAGGGATCATCCGAGATGCTGCATATCCGGCGAGCTCTTGAGTTCGTTTGGTGAGTCGGGAGATTGTTGAACGAGCTCAATCCTCGTGAATGATGCTCGATCGCCTTTCTCTCGAATGTGCGGATGCTTTCCCGAATCGGCTGTGCCGTCTCAAGACAAAAGAGTGAGTCCGACTGCATGTGCATTCTGAAAGCTGAGATTATATGCACTTTACATTCGTTGTACAATATATTGATTGATTGATTGGCGGATCGATTGATTGAAGATTCTTTGATTGAAATATCCTTTTCACTTGAATACGATTTGTGCGAAAAGTAGCTTTAGCTATAAGCCTATTTTGAAACTTGTTTCGTTTGGCTTTATAGCTCAAGCTATGTTTCAAATGCCAGGTTGCTTTTGAAACTCGCTTTTCGCCCAAACCTTTTAAATACGGGAGGGGCAAACAACCTTACTTTAACTCGTCGGTTTTTGCCACGATGTTTTTCGTCCTGATGCGAACCTTGATGTCGAACCTTTGAATGACTTTATATTGCGGCAGTCATTTGTGGTTCGAGTTCGCCATCGGGCGATATTCGAAATTTTTGTCCCACCCAACCCGCCCGGGAGATTGTTGAACGAGCTCAATCCTCGTGAATGATGCTCGATCGCCTTTCTCTCGAATGTGCGGATGCTTTCCCGAATCGGCTGTGCCGTCTCAAGAAAAAAGAGTGAGTCCGACTGCATGTGCATTCTGAAAGCTGAGATTATATGCACTTTACATTCGTTGTACAATATATTGATTGATTGATTGGCGGATCGATTGATTGAAGATTCTTTGATTGAAATATCCTTTTCACTTGAATACGATTTGTGCGAAAAGTAGCTTTAGCTATAAGCTTTCCTTCCGAGGTCGCGAGGTCAGAGGTCCGAGGTCAGAGCTCCATCCCCTCCTCCTCTGATGATGAGTGTGCATGGCAGCTGCTGCATGCTCAAGCCTAGTTGCCACGCTGAAGGCGTTGCAGCCATGGACTCCATATACTGCGGCGGTCTGGAGAGCTGCAACAAGCTCTGGTGGCTGCTCGTTCACTTCGCTGCGACCTGGGGGCCCCAATTCGAGGGCGAGATGGACCGCTTCCACACCACGGATGATGGCTACTACAAGGACCGCCGCAATGCCATGCATTTGAAGTTCCACGGGGAAGCGGAGGCGGTGCTCCCAGGGTCATCTCGCTGGGGCGTATTCACACCGGCCGCGGTCGTGCGTCTTTTGGCACCAGCCTGGTGGCGCAGAGTCGGCTTCAGCCAGGACGTGTCGCACCGCTTTTTGGAGTGTTGGCTGTACACGCAATTTCCACTCCGAGGCCAGATGTTCGAGGACGTCGTGGAGATTCTGCACTGCTTTTGCGAGATGGTCCATTGCTCTGACTACGTTGCCGCGGTGCCTGGTGAGATCCGGACGTTCCAAGACCTGATGGATGCCCGAGCGTCCATGGTGAGGCGCCTGCGGCAGCTGAAGCAAGAGCAATGGGAGCTTCGACGTGGCTTGCAGTTTTCAGCTTAATTTGCTCCAGGGCGCATGGCCGGCGCCCACCTTGCATGCAACTTCTTTGAGTTTGTGACGTCGAATTTGGACGACTCACAGCTCACGAGCCTGATTAAGAGCAGTTCCGAGCAAAATGAGCGTCTTTCCTTTCCGAGCTCCTCCCCGCCTCCTGCTGCCCTGTCCTCGCCCCCCTCCTTCCACTCAGGTCTGGTCTTCTTTGGTGGCCGTGATCTCGGCCTGGGTTCGTAACTACTTCAGTCTTCAGTTCTTGCAAACTTTGCACAAGCACGTAAAGCTTCGGCGTTTGCAGTTCAGAGGAAAACACTCCAATTCGCGCTTCATGGTTACAGCTGTGTGAGGATGACAGTCTAGTGATCAGCCAGAGCAGCTAGCAGCCGCTAGGAACCTTTGAAGTAGCGGGTCCGTCTTGAACACCCAAACCATCGCCTGGCTTGCCGAGTTGTGAGTGGTAACCGTCCCATCTTCAACACCGAAGCCTTGGGACCCACGTCCCAGGAGCTCCGCCACTACGCGGCACCGTGCAGTCGCCTGGGGCCCCGGCGATTCCGGGTGCTGTCGGTAGGACATGACGCTGTGAAGTGTTCTCGCGAAAGGAACTCCGATGGGGTGGCTGCTGTTGCAAGCATCCGCTTGATACTAGATGCAGCATTGGACCAAGTTATAGTAGTGATCGTCTGGGCTAAGCGAGCTTCCGTTCCAGCCATGCCGCTGGAGTTGGACGATTCGGTGTTCGGGGTTTGGATGGTGGCTCTGTTCTCCGTTTACGATGGCTGTGCACACACAACGCATCGACAGGGCCCTTTGGACCATGCCAAACTCGCGATGGTTACCCACTTTGTGGCGCGAATCTGGGACGACAACAAGGAGACCTGCGAGGTGCTAGCCTTCACCCACGCGCTCTTCAAGATAGCACAGGATGCAATCGAGAGCATGGACCCTGACACTGGGGATTACGAACGGTTGGAGAAGATGCCCAGCAGTGATTTCTTCCTTCGACTTTACGACCCGGACAGCATTCAAGCCACGCTGGAGAAACTTCACCACATCGCCGACCAGCACGACTTCGATCACATGATCAAGTGTATGACTTGGGCCACGGACTTTTTGGCTGGTGTCTTGCCCTTGATTCGCTTTCATCCACAGCTGTTGCGAAGCATGGGGAAGCTCCAGAGCCTCCTTTTCGACATGACTGCGATGTTGTGCATTCATATGCAGTCGAAGCTGGTCATGTGGCTTCGTCTGCATTAAGTTGCAGCTCCGAATCGTTGCCATTGTTTATTGTCGTTCTGCATCTGGATATTCAGGCTCGAAGAAGGCCGTGCAGCGTCAAGCGGTCCAGCCGAGAATCTGCACAGGACGCGCTGTCCATCCAGATCATGTGCTTGCTAGCTGTGTGTAGGCTGTAGAACGAGTGCAAAAGCTGCATGTGCACTACATATATATAATGTTATATATATATATGTATATATATATAATATATTAACTTCCGTACTTTCAGGATGGACTGATGATGATGCTCCCGAACACGGCGGACTGCAGCACAACATCATCGCTTGGCGATTTTTGGCTACTTGGATATAAAAAGGCATTTCGTTTCGCTGCCCGGAATTCATCCACGTGTCAAGCTGGACGGCCGCTCGAGTGCGAGAGTGGGTGTGAAATGCAACTGGCCAAGGTTCTGTTCATGGCTTTCCAGCCCAAACCACCGTCATTAAGGGGCTGTACAGCCCACAGATCCTAGTGACTTAGTTCATAAGGCTTAGTATGGGCTCTACGGCCCGACCCTTGAACTCTAAGACTCTAAAAGAACTACAGTAACTACAGCCCACAATCCTGTATCTGTAAGGCCTGCACAGCCCAAACCACCGTCATTAAGGGGCTGTACAGCCCACAGATCCTAGTGACCTAGTGACTTAGTAAGGGCTCTACGGCCCCTTTCAGGGCTAAGACTCTACGAGCTCCACGGCCCACGACCCTTTTTTTCAAGGGCTTCTAGGGCCCATGACCCTTTAAGGCGGCTAAGGGCTGTACAGCCATGACTCACTCACCCTTTAAATCTGAAGGCTCTACTGCCCACGACCCTTTACTTCAAGGGGGCTCTGCGGCCCATGGCCCTTAAACTTTAGGACTTTAGGGGCTTGGGCTTGGGGCTCTGGTTTCCAGGTTCGAGGTTTAGGTCCATCCTGCCGATACAGCCCAAAACTGGCTACACAGCCCACAACCCTGCAACTGTAAGGCCTGCACAGCCCAAACCCCCGTCATTTAGGGGCTGTACAGCCCACAGATCCTAGTGACTTAGTAAGGCAGTAAAGGGCTCTACGGTTTGTGCACACCGCCCGTCGCTCCTACCTATTGAGTGATCCGGTGAATTATTCGAACTGACACAGTGCTCGGATAGTTTCATGGATCTGTAGTTGAACCTGCGGAAGGATCATTCGCGCTATCCAAAACTTGTTGTGAACTTGGGTTTAGGGGTCGCCTTATGTGTTTTTGTTGCAAGGTTTCGGGTTGTGGCGTTAGGTTACGTTTCGGTTGTTGGGCTTATGTTGCTAGGTTCGGTTTGGGAAACCCGTGTCACGGTAGGGATTTATCTGATAGCAAAAGTTCCTACTGTGCTGAGTGTAGTGGGTTAAGGAGGCATGAGCATATGTTGTGGCTTCATCAACCCATGACCACGTTCATGACCTGGTGCTGTTTCCTTGGGCTCAGAAGGTGGTGCAACAGTCACGTTGACGTGGTCAGAACCTTTCAAGGTAGGGTCTTGGGGGTACCCGTCAAATCAGTCAGCGCAGTACCAGACTTCCAACACCCTACCTCTCAAGCTCATACATAAACGAAGCATGAATAGCCAGTCGAGGCTCTTGCAGACAACTTAGTCTTAGTTCGTCTCTACGAAACATGCCACAATGGCGCTGTGTGCTGTGCAAGACGGGGCGCACGTACCGTCGGGACGGGAAGTGCGAGAAATGTCGGCCAAGCAAGAGAGGTGCATGCAATAAACGACGGCCGAAGTTTCGCTTGAACGGCAAGCAAAGCCTGGGGTCAAACGTCCGCTATGGGGCCTCGGTAGCGGCATCGCCTGCAGGAAGGGGCATCTTGAAGGATTGGCAACACGCTTTGGAATCCGCATACTACTCTATGCTGGTGTCCAGACTTGACTTCTGCGCAGCACACAGCGTGCTCAGCATTGCGCACGCCCTGATTCTGGCAGTAGATTCAGCAGGCTGCTGTTTGCCCGAGAGAAATCCTTCGTCTGAGCTCGCATTGGTGTTTTGCGCGATGGCATGGAGTACACGGATTGAGGACCCGGACGGTTACCGACCGAAGTGGGCACGAGAACTTAAAATTCCAATGAAGAGTGTCACAGCTGCGCAATGTGTCTGGACCAATCTGGTCGGGAAGCTGGATATCCATCTGCTGGACTGCTGAGAATTCTACATCCTTTGCGGCGTCTAAGTGAATCATTCTATCATTCATTCATCATGCTGTGCAAATCCTGGTCTCGTGGGCCTTTCCCGGGATGCGTGTCACGACCAGCAGCGGCAGCAGCAAGGTGAACAAAAAGATACGTACTAGTTCTCGTGGACTTCCCGAATGTTTTGCCACCCGACATCCGGGCTTGCGGTTTCCTCTTCTGATGTTTTGGTTGCCCCAGGCCAGAGAATTTGTGGCAAATTACAGAACGCAACCGGTTGCGATCTGTGTTTTGCCACACAAATCCGGGTTTGCGGTTTCCTCTTCTGATGTTTTGGTTTCGCCAGGCCAGAGAATTTGTGGCAAATTACAGAACGCAACCGGTTGCGATCTGTGTTTTGCCACACAAATCCGGGTTTGCGGTTTCCTCTTCTGATGTTTTGGTTGCCCCAGGCCAGAGAATTTGTGGCAAATTACAGAACGCAACCGGTTGCGATCTGTGTTTTGCCACACAAATCCGGGTTTACGGTTTCCTCTTCTGATGTTTTGGTTTCGCCAGGCCAGAGAATTGGTGGCAAATTACATAACGCAACCGGTTGCGATCTGTGTTTTGCCACACAAATCCGGGTTTGCGGTTTCCTCTTCTGATGTTTTGGTTTCGCCAGGCCAGAGAATTTGTGGCAAATTACAGAACGCAACCGGTTGCGATCTGTGTTTTGCCACACAAATCCGGGTTTGCGGTTTCCTCTTCTGATGTTTTGGTTGCCCCAGGCCAGAGAATTTGTGGCAAATTACAGAACGCAACCGGTTGCGATCTGTGTTTTGCCACACAAATCCGGGTTTACGGTTTCCTCTTCTGATGTTTTGGTTTCGCCAGGCCAGAGAATTGGTGGCAAATTACATAACGCAACCGGTTGCGATCTGTGTTTTGCCACACAAATCCGGGTTTGCGGGTTCCTCTTCTGATGTTTTGGTTGCCCCAGGCCAGAGAATTTGTGGCAAATAACAGAACACAACCGGTTGCGTTCTGTAATTTGCCACACAAATCTGTGATGTGTGTTGCTGAGGCTGGACACCAGCTGCGATCCGAGAGTGCGGTCCGAAGAAGCCCGCGTGTTGGGGTTTGGGGTTTAGGCTTTAAAATTAGTGGGTGCAACGGCCCATGACTGACCTTTGAACTCTAAAACTCTATAGGCCCACGACCCTTTATTTTAAGGCTCTACGGCCCATGACCCTTTGAGTCTTTGAGGCTAGGGGTTCTACAGCCATGACTCACACTTTAAATCTAAGGGCTCTACTGCCCACGACCCTTTACTTCAAGGGGCCTGTGCGGCCCATGGCCCTTAAACGCCTTAAATCTTAAACTTTAGGACTTTCGGCTTTAGGTTTAGTTTAGGGGCTTGGGCTTGGGCTTGGGGCTCTGGTTTCCAGGTTGTAGGTTTAGGTCTAGGTGGAGTTTGGACATATAGGACCGGGTCTGGTCATTGAATGAGAGGGTCTTCTTCGTGCTGTAGCCGCAGCTGCCTGTGTGCAATCTTGGAGCTTGGTAAATAAAAATTAAAAATTGTGACAGTGAAACTGCTAAACGCTTTCAAATCCTCTGCGTACCTTGAGGCCAACTACTCTACTCGGCTTCAGCTCCGTGTGCTGCTGGCACGCAACAGCAACCGGCAGCTGGAAAAGTGCCGAGAATGCGGTATGCTTGCCCATGTGGAACTCACTTAGACTTCAAGCCGCTCAAGCCTGTTTGCGGAAGTGGAGACTGCAGCTTTTTTTACATGGAAAGACAATCAAGCATTATGATTGGAAACTCAGGCCCGGCTGTGTGGAAACTAGGCCTAGGCCCGATTGTGTGGAAACTCATGCCCGTTTATGTGGAAACTCATGCCTGTTTATGTCGAAATTCAGGTTCGTTTATCTGGAAATTCAAGCCCATTTATGTGGAAACTCATGCCAGTTTATGTGGAAACTCATGCCCGTTCGTGTCGAAATTCAGGCTCCAGGCCCATTTATGCGGAAATTCAGGCCCGTTTATGTGGAAATTCAGGCCCGTTTATGTGGCAATTCAGGCCCGTTTATGTGGAATTTCTAGCAGTATTTTGTGGCAATTCAGGCCCGTTCATGTGGAGATTCTAGCACTATTTTGTGGCAATTCAGGCCCGTTTATGTGAAGCACGTTTTTGTGGAAACTCAGGCCCGTTTATGTGGAAACTCAGGCCCGTTTATGTGGAAACTCAGGCCCGTTTATGTGGAAACTCAGGCCCGTTTATGTGGAAACTCAGGCCCGTTTATGTGGAAACTCAGGCCCGTTTATGTGGAAACTCAGGCCCGTTTATGTGGAAACTCAGGCCCGTTTATGTGGAAACTCAGGCCCGTTTATGTGGAAACTCAGGCCCGTTTATGTGGAAACTCAGGCCCGTTTATGTGGAAACTCAGGCCCGTTCTGCCTCTGAAACAGCCTGTTTAAGCCCCAAATATGGAGTTTAATAAACGTGTTGAGGGCCCTCTCCAATGTTATGATGATTGTGCTGAGTCTGGTGGGGACATGTTTCCTCATTCAGCAAGCGGTTAAGCTGATGTACATCATTGTGAAGTGGTGTAATCGGAAAGTAAGGGGCAAGGATGCAGAAAAGGTCTATGTGTATCCAAACAGGAGAGTGTACCACAAGAAGACCTGCATGTGGTATTCAGAGAAGACTCGTGAAGTCACACTTGCCCAAGCCAAAGAAGAAGGCCTACGTTCGTGCTGGAAGTGTCACACAGGTGACAAGAAGAAATGCTACGTTGAAAGGCAAAGGACAAGGGAAGTGGAGCAGATATGTATGCTCCCATGC